CAGTCAGCGCTGGAGGATCGGGCAGGGAAGGGGGGGAATCCCTGCGGGGAGCCGTGAGTGACAGTCACGGCTCTCTGCAGGGAGATGACTGAGAAGTGAGCGAGCAACTGTATGTGTTCGCTCACTTCCACATCTATTGAGCCGACCTGTGACAGTTTCATTTACACTGACCTCATAGTTCTCCTTTAAGTATTCTAATGTATATGTAGAGACCTTGCTTCAGACATTGCGTTGTGTGGGTATGTTGGTGCTTGCAGGACGCAGCAATGCTGCAGGCCATCCTAAGCCCCCAATTCACAGCATACCAAAACATATAGGTTCATACATACATACATACATACATACATACTTTAGGGGGTTTATTTATAAAACAATTGCAGAGCCATTTATCCTGTGAAACTGCATGCACCTTTTAATCTGTGCGAATAAAGGCAACAATAATTGTTATTAGTATATTTAATCTTTCCAGGCTAAATTTAATATCAGAAAATACCGTATTATGGCCACTAGGTGGAGCAAATGAGCATAGAAAATAAGTATTTATTCCTATGCTCATCAGCAACATCTAGTGGCCATAATACGGTATTTTCCTGATATTATATTTGACCTGGAAAGAAAAATATACTAATGACAATTATTTTTGCCTTCATTCACACACATCAAATATACATGCAGTTTCACAGGACAAATGTCTTTGCAATTTTGTTTTTATACATAATCCCCTTAAAGTGTATATAAACCCAAACTATATGTTTCAGTATGTTTGGCATCATGTCTCACTGTAAACAGTTGTCTTAAGAAAATTATGTTTTGGGACTCTAATGCAAAGTTTCTATCCTGGAGATTCTGCCAGTATAAGACCCCCTAGTCTAATAGACTTAATAGCCAGTCTAATGGCCAACTGAAGTGCACATGGCGCTTCTACTAATTGAGATGTGATGACTTACTTTTGTCAACCTGTAACCGAAGGTCTTGCTACTCGCAGAACCTCCAGGTAAGAACTTTGCATCCCATTGGAAGTGTCTGTGTCAATGAGCTCTGGGCTTGAATCGATGGCATCAGCTTGAGATGCTTCTGAGATCTTTCACAATCCATTGATAGGTGCATTTGCCTGCATCTGACCTCCTTCCGCTCTTCTTCAAGTGGGTTTTGCATTCCTGTAGACTTGTTTGGGAATGCAAAGCCCCATTGAAGCCAACAAAAGAAAGTCAACACAGGTCCTTGCGGCTAAGTGGCAAAGTTTCTTATCTGGAGATCCTGCCAGTAAGAAGACTTCCTTGTCAAATAGACCTAATAGGCAGTATAATGGCCAACTGAAGTGCACACTGCACATTGACGGTTCTGCTACTAATTGAGATGTGATGGCTTACCTTAGTCAGCCTGTAACAGAAGGTCTTGCTACTTACAGAATCTCCAGGTAAGAACTTTGCATCCCATTGAAAGGGTCTGTGACAATGGGCGTAGGCTTGAATTGATGGCATCAGCTTGAGATGATTCTGAGATCCATCACAATTCAGACCTGCAGCTGACTTCCTTTCGATCTGCTTCAAGTGGGCTTTGCATTCCTGTAGACTTGTTTGGGAATGCAAAGCCCCATTGAAGCTAACAAAAGGAAGTCAACACAGGTCCTTGAAACTGGGTGGCAAAGTTTCTTACCTGGAGATGCTGCCAGTAAGAAGGCTTCCTAGTCTAAAAGAACTAAATATGCAGTCTAATGGCAAACTGAATTGCACATGGCAGGTTGACGACGCTGGTGCTAGTTGAGATGCAATGACTTACCTTTGTCAGCCTGTAACAGGAGGTCTTGTTACTGGCAATGTCTACAGATTAGAAACTTTGCACTCGATCTGAAGGGTCTGTGTCAACATGCTTTGGGCTTGTGTCAATGGTATCAGCTTGAGATGCTTCTGAGATCCTTCATGATTCATTGACAGGTGCATTTGACCGGCGGGTGATCTATTTCATATCTACTTCAAGTGTGTTGAAAATGTTTTGCATTCCTATAGACTTGTACGGGAATGCAAAGCCCCATTGAAGCCAACAAAAAAAAAGTCCACACAGGTCCCCAGAAAACTTCATACAGTGAGTCACCATGCTGAATGTACCGCAAAGTAGATTTTGTGTTGACATGCACTTTAACAACCCCCACAGATTCCCCTTCGCTGTTGAGTCCAATACATATCACCAAAATGGCGAACTTTTGCAGAAACGTTTTTGCTAACATTTCAGGAAATGGAATTTTGCCCCTCCCTACTCATCATATGAAATATTATAATGGGTATATAGAAAAGCAAGTCAAATTATGCAAGTCATATCAAAAACTACTTTTGCGTAAACTTTGCAGAACTAGCTCAAAGTGCGTACGGACTGAATATACAATATGGTTTCCCTTCAGAGATGTTTGAATGCAGAAGTGCCTATTTGACATAGCCCTTTAGGCGTGTAATACACTTTAAATCCTTGGGCTTGTGTCGTTTTCATAAGTACGTGCCGATCTCGGGAGCAGCCTTCACATTTTCGTGTTTTGCAAACTCTGTACCTGGAGGTAATCGCCATGCAAACCGCTAATAGATCAACGGGGGACCTTGCTGTAAAAATACATCTCGGGCACTTGGAGTGCGCGCACATCTCCTGAGTATCCTTGGCTGCATTTGGAAATGTCTGGGCTTGACTGCGGAATTCTCTTTGTGGTTCATTAAAAGTTGCACTAGTGAGATTGTTTTGCATTCAGACTTATCATGATAATCACCTCTACCGCTTTCTTCTCTCCAGGGGAACATCACGTTTTCCTGCTCCGAGCCCCACATCGTCCCCATCACGTTCACAAGTCCCAGCACCAGCTTCCTCCTACTGCCCGGCACCCCGATGATGGACGATCTGGCGGTCAGCTTCCAGTTCCGGACGTGGAACAGTGACGGCCTTCTGTTGTCCACCAAACTGTCTGGGGATTCCGGAATGCTCCTGCTCCAGCTGTATTCTGGGAAGTTGCTGCTAATGATTCAGAAGGAGATGGTCAACGTTCTACCAATAACCACAGGTAATGTTTTCAGGGTCATGTGTAGAGTTATATCTGAACCCCTGCCTTCCCTTCAGTCTTGTACAGTTGTACCGGCTCCTCTCCAGGACTAAAATAGCTTCCTCTGATATCACTGCACACTGTGAGCTTATCATAATGTGCAGTAGAAGCTGCAGCAAGTCAGATAGAGACCACCTAATTTCCTGACTGGAGGATGTCTAACACCATCTGGTCCTTTCCTTCCCAGCTGGACTGTCGCTGGCCCATTCCTTTCATTCATTGGATTTCAGTTTTTTCCATCATGAATACTCAGTATCACATGTGGACATTACCTAGGGGCATTCTGCATGCCGACTGACCCGCCCGTGAAGGCATTTTGATATTTACATAACTCCTTTCTCTTGGGAGAAGTACTGAGGCAAGGTGCTGTGATGTTTTCAGGAAGCTATGTACAGCCCCCTGTTGGCCCCTCCCACCAGCTATGATATGCCTGCTTTGCATAGAGAAGCGTAAAGACCCGGTGATGTAAAATAAGGTATTTAATGGAAACAAAGCTTTTTTTTTTTTTGAAAATAGTTTATTCGTGTCAGAGAGTTATACAATTATGATAACATTTTCATTTGTTAAACACCAACACATTTCAGTAACGTTTGAAGCATACGCCTTGTAATATTCAGGATATGTTGAGACAAAAGAAAGAACGATAACATAGTTATGTTTAGTTTCAGCAGAATATATCGTATTATAACATGCCAGGGGATATCTACTTCTGGGCGTTTCCTCCCCGGTACCGTGCCCTGGGCACTAGGCCTCATGTTTTTTGTCTTCTGTGCGGGCTATTGCCCCAGGCACTTTTCGGCCCCCTGTGATTTGTTGGCCTGCGGCCATATCTGAGTAGGCTGAGTAGGAGGCCTCCCCTTGCAGCTCTCCTCGAGGTGGGAACAGAGGATGCACGGACTGGGAGAGGCACAAGTGCCCGTAACTGGTGCAAGACTGCAGACTCAGGCGTTGACTCAGGTAGCTGGAAGCAAAGTAATCGCAGAACCAGACCGTCAGTAGCAGACTGAGTGGTATCTGTGCAGGAGTCAGATGAGCCGGGTTGGCAACAGGCGTACAGCAGGGTGCAGAATCAGGAAGCAGAAGCGGTGTCACAAGGAAGCCAAGTCAGAAATCTTGCGGACAAACCGTACCAAATCAGGATGCGGAAGAGCCGTCGGAGGCAAGCAGGGATCAGAATGCAGGCAACAGGCAGAATTTAGTCAAGCGGAGTCAAATTCAGGGTGACAGGAACAACAGAGTGCAGGATACAGCTTCCAGCAGCTGCATCAGCCCTCCTTAAATAGCACGTTTGGCGCCACTAGCTGGAACAGGCTTACGCGGTGCGCGCCATGCGCAGTGCACAAGAGCGCGCCCCCAAACATGTGCATGCGCTTACATGTAGGTGATGTTGGCACCAAAATACTTCCTATGCGTATATTTTTGCACAGTGTCACGTGCAGCTTTCCGAGCAGCAGCTGTACTAGGGACACCAGCTGGACTTCCCTGACATCCCCAATTAAGTGCAAAGGGAATTAACAAAAAACAGCATTTTTCTTGCACATGATTGGATGGCGTAGTGTACACATCTTTACCTTATGTACTAATTTTCTATCTCAGTCATCTCCAGCAGTGAGATTTTCTTTTATGGCAATATTGCCGTCCATCTACAGGTGTTGGGGGTGCTGTGTTTCTCCTATGACAAAACCGGGGTCAGCTGTGTGATTATAGGAGACATGCTGCACGTCCCCACTTATCATTCTGTTTTAAGAAGTAACTTGAATGGCCTTCCTCTGTTTCCCCAGAACAGCAGCCGGTACAATCACTGAAGATTGCTAAGATCATTGAAAATTATATAATTGGCTTGGAGAGGATTGATTTTTTTCTCAACAAAAGTGGAGTTCCACTTGAAGCAATAATTGCTGGTAACTAATGTTGATCATTTTTCTGCCTTGACTAAAAGCACATTCTCAGTGTAAAAGGTAAAACTTCACTTCACTTATTGGTGAGGGGAGATAATCTTGTGCAATCTATGCAGTGAACCCCATTGAAGTCTTGGGTCTTGTTATTCAATTCTGGCTATTTCTAGGACTAACAAGCTAGCTATTGCCAAACAATACAAGCTCATCTCTCTGTTATTCTGCTCTCTCCTCCTGTCATCGTGACCCTTGTTGGTAGAGCAGGAGAGCTGATTTTTCTCTGCTGCAGTTTAGTAACACTTACAGGTCTTGTCCCTCCCCCAGCCTGTGACTGTATAGTAAAAGGAGAAGCAGCAGACTGATGAGTTTATCAGTTTATAGTTTGCTCTATCTTCTTATCAGCATGTTCCTTGTTAGCACATGAGCACTGCAGCACAACAGATTTGGCGACTTGTGCTGCTTGTCCCTCTCACACCCTGAGCTCTGGTGTACAGAGGATTGCGAGAGGCTGCTTGATTTTAAACAAATACATGGAATGATTGATTAATGAATACAAAGACTTTCATGGAGCCAATCAGCTGTGCTGCCTGTGGCTCAGATTTAAAGTGGAGCTCCAAGTTATAAATGGAATGGGGAGGGGCCAGAAACTTTGTCAGGTTTTAATTTCTGTCCCTATTGAAGAATATTTCCTGATCTCCTCTACAGTGATCACGGTCTCACCAATGGGGACACAAATAGCAGAAAAAAAACCCTTTCCTAAAATAAAATAAATATAAAAACAATTCTAATAATAATAGTAGTAGTAATAATAATAATAATTATAATGTATTGCTATTAATGGTCCATATAATGGACTTAGTGCAAAGTTATTCACTTTAAGGTCATTGCAAAGGACGATGGAAACCGCCATTTGAGTCTGGAGGAAAAGAGGTTTAACCTCAATATGGAATATGGTAAGAGCTGAGAATATGTGGAATAGACTTCCTTGGAACTTAGTTCACTTAATGCAAAGAATATAACACAATATTAACATTTATAAATAATAACACCAAGCATTGTTAAAAGAGAACTATGGGGTAAGTGTTTTTCCCCATAGTTCTCTTTAGGGTCACGGGAGAAAATATACTAACCTCCTCCCGTGACCCAAAGCTCAGTATATAGCGTCCCATTGCCCGTGATATACAGAGAGCACTGCAGCCCGACAATACTGTCTGGATCCATCCAGCTGGCTGATTGACAGCGGGATCTGCCTATCTAGAGGCAGAGCTGGCTGTGCCCGCCCTCTCCCCTGTCCGTTCCTCCACTCAGCACTGGAGGATCGGAGCGGGGAATCCCTGCGGGGAGCCATGGCTGACAGTCACGGCTCTCTGTAGGGATATGATCGCCAAATGAGCGAGGGACGGTATGGGTTCGCTCACTTACCAATCTAAAGAGCTGACCTGTAGCAGCTTCTTTGTCACAGGCCGGCTCTTACTTTGAGGATGAGTGAAAATCACTCTCCCCATAGTTCTCCTTTAAGTCAGGGATTATCCAGTTGCCTCAGGGCAGGGGTTGGCAACTTCGGCTCTCCAGCTGTGCTTTAACTACAAATCCCAACATGTCTCTGCCTCTGGGAGTCATGCCTGTTACTGTCAGTCTTACAATGCCTCATGGGACTTCAACAACAGCTGGAGGGCCGGCGTTGCCCACCCTTACCTTAGGGGATAAGGAAGATTTATTTTCCCTGTTGGAGCAAATTGGACCATTCTTTATAGGGTTTTTTATTGCCTTCCTCTGGATCAGTTGTGGGTCTAGGGTTCTGTAAATGGAGGTTTTTAATTTATTGATTTTTTCCTTTTATCCATTGGTTGAACCCGATGGACTTGTGTCTTTTTTTTCCCCAACCTAATAATGTATCTATGTTCCTGTAATGAAGATTTACCCTTGCTTCCTGTTCCATTGATAGTGATCACTAAGGATGGGGAAAGGACAATGTTCCCAATAGTGACCCTGTTAGAAACATCAACCCGGCAGATGTTCTAACCCTCCCCCACTCTGTTCCAAATAGACAAAGTTTTGGCTGGGGATAAAAAGTTGATGTCGTGCTTTTCAGCAGCAAGTTATTCAGAAATGTTGATTTGAGATTTCAGAATCTTTTTTTTTAATCCATAATAAGAGAGGAAGATACAAAGCTGGTGAAGTTTTGATGTGTCTCTGCTTTTCTTCTTCCTCTCAGGTATAGATGAGCTTTGGAGGTTAGATAAGCCTTCCACAAAAAAAAAAAAAGAACATTTCAAAACCTCCGCAGGATTGTTATTATCTATAAACGTTTGACATCTCTCTTGTAGATGGCGTCTTCAGTGAATGGCTTTTAATGTCCAGGTGTTATTCTGGATATTGACAAGCTCGATGGGAGCTTAACATTAATTGCTTCTGTGGCAATGGGCTTAGAATCACAACAAGATGCAGAAATATGAAGGAGGACAATTCTGACTTGTTTTTCCCGTTAAGAGACTTTGGGGGAAAATTTTCAACTGTTCTAATGTTCAGACAGTTATGTAACTGTAAAACCACCACACGCAACTTGCTGGACACAAGGAGTTAGGGTCTAGTGCAGGATTAATGGGTCGGTGTCCAACCTGCACCCCCCATGCAGCCATTTGGCACCCTTTGGGTGCCCTGCAGACAGCAATCTATGCTATCCTAAGTGTTTCTTCCAGCCAGTAAATGAGTGGTCTGCAGCTACGCGGCCCCATACACAACAACCTGCAATGGTTTGTGTGTTCAGACACCTTGCCTGAAAACATACATTGATAGGAAGGAAGTGGGAATTTTTAGTGGCGGCACTGCAGCAATGAATAGCTCACATATGTTCTAGTCTAACCACATTGTACTAAATTTTAGCATTTTTATTTAGTCTCAATTACCTGGTTATATTTCCTTTCACTTCCCGTCATAGTAACAACTTTGTAACCAATACAGAAAGTGACCATCCTAGGTAATATCAAACCTGCTGAATCTTCCTATTTGAAAGAACTGAAATCCAATGAATTAAAGGAGAAGGTGCTGGGGACAGTCAGGGTGAGGAAAAAAGCACTAGAGCTGGACATCCTCCAGCCAGTAAAGGAGGCGGGATTTACTGGTTGGAGTACATGGATACCCCTGAGGGCCGAGCATACTCTGCATGATCTCCTCCCTTTCAATGGCTCACAAAAGAGAGCCCAATGTGAGAGGCGGGATTTATCTGACTTGCTGCAGCTGCTAATGCACATGGTGAGAAGCTCCCAGTGTGCAGTGATATCAGAGGAAGCAATTTCAGTCCAGGAGAGGATATGGTACAACTGTGCAAGACTGAAGGGAAAGGCCAGAGTTTACCTTTAAGGGATTTGTGATATAACTGATGATGCAAAAAGCTGAAAGAGAAAGTCTCATAGGCTTGAAAAAAGTATAAATATCCCTGTAAGGTGTTCTTTGCAATCTGGTTAAAGTTTACGTGCTGTTTTCAATTTAGGTGATTTTATTTACCAACATTTTTTTTTAACTTACATGTTTTAGCAGTTGTCCAAAAAATATTTATTTTGTTATGTAGCATTTTCAGTAGCCTCAGCATGATAAGCTAACAAATCAGGATAAGGTCAAAGTAATCTGAAAATATTTAACTGAGAAAAGATCAGAGAAGCAGCAAGTATCACCGCAGGAAGACCCAGGTAAAGGAACAGAGAGGAGCTGTTATCTGAGGAAACACCAACATAAGTGTTAATAACTGTAACAAGATAATTGTTGAAGAGAATAAACTGTATAATATAATAATGGATGATTTGACCTATTTGATAGCTAAATCTAGATGGGGACATTTTTTGGACAGGCAGTGCATATATATATATATATGTAAGCCGTATTAGTCCAGTAGACAAGATGTAAAAAAAAAACAACAACTTAGTATTGCAGTGTGCAATGATACCTTTCTTATTGGACTAACATAATATATAAAAGACAAGCTTTCGAGAGTGAACCTCTCTTCTTCAGGTCAGAAGCAATACATATAGTGATGTTTGGGGAACTTAGCACGTATGGTGAGCACTTAAGGAACAGTCTTGAAGCCGTTTTAAACATAAACAGGACAGTCTTTTTATTTCTTTCATCAGCACAACATAAAGTCTGCTAATGTTTAAGCAAGTAGACAATGTCTCACCGACCAAAGATTGTTGCACATACTCCATGTGAAACCGGCTCTCTCAGCCACCTCGGCTGCCTTCCCTGTGCCTCTAGCGCACACCGCTACCTGGCTCCCTTCTGACCTCTGGGTGGAGTCCTCCTGATCACCCCTGTTCCTCTTCCCAGCTGGGGCCCAGAACATTAGTCAGCACCCTTCCCATAAGTGCTGTGCACAGGTGTGCAATTAGGTGCTGGCCACTGCTAAACCCCGGACCCAGGAATGGAGATTTCCAGGATCCCATGTCAAATCCAGAAGACTCGGAGAGAACTGCAACGCTAGATCTTTCCCAGGAAAATAATTTGTTTCCTGGAACTGCTCAGCCCCCTCTAGCTGAGAGTCCTGAGTGACTACAACCCCCCAGTTCTACCGCGGGATTGCCACACAATACCACAATGTATACAGTATAGATAGATAGATAGATATATATCTATATCTAGATATATATCTATATATATATCTAGATATAGATATATCTATATATATACACTATTAACTTCAAGGAGGACATGATACATTCTGACCAGGTTCCCCTCTTGTGTGATCTTTGCCAAAATGACTTGATTTCTTTGAGATGTTGCAGCTCCATATGCAGTTCTTTTTTTTTTTAAATCATAAAAGTATTTGTTTCAGAAATAAAACTCCCTTCTTTTTCCAGGCAGTGGTTTAAATGACGGTTTATGGCACACGGTTACAATTAACGCAAGAAGACATCGCATCTCCCTGACGTTAGACAACGGGGCTACGGCACCTGTCCATGTCACCATGGCTGTACAGATTTCCACAGGACACCGCTATTATTTTGGAGGTGGGTGGAATTTTATGCAATCCTAATATGTTGTAAGCAAGCGAACAAAGTGACATTAGACCCTCAGATTTTTTAACATAAAACAATACTATAATGTGTGCCTTACTGTAATCCATGGTAGTTTCCCTTCTCTTTGCTGCTCTTCCTTTTAAATCTGTATCTGTTCTCATGCTGGGCAGAACTTCTGTTTTGCAGCAGACTGCCTTGTCTCTGGAATGGCTACATGGTGTCTGTGTGTAGGTTTGCAACCTGAGCCAGCACTACAGGAAGAGGCAGTCAGCGGCAAAGGGAAGTTCTCCCCCAGCATGAGAAGACATGAGGATTTAAAAGGAAGAGCAGCAAAGAGAAAATAAACTACCATGGATTACAGTAAGGCGCACATTACAGTATTGTTTATGTTAAAAGATCTGAGGGTTTAATGTCACTTTAAAGATCCACCCACAGCCCCGGAGTTGGGGGAGAAAAGACAACATAGCGTGTCACATGACCACTAAGAAAATAAAGGAATAAAAGTACATAACCAATTTATATTACATTGTACATACAAGGCATGCTTATTCAGTGGGCAAGCATTGCCATGATGTCATGATGTAGATGACATGGTTTAGGTGCACAATTAATGTCTCAAATTTAAATATGAAATGTAATACGTGTGATAAACAGATAAAAGCCGACAATACAAATCCAGTCTGTGCATCCATTATATACTGAGCTGAATTCTCTTCTCATAACCTGAAAGTTTTAGACAAAGCTTATGTAATAAAGGAACATCACAAAATCTGGGACCCCGGGGTCATCCATCAATAGAGCTCATAAAAAAAGTAAACGCATTATAGGAAATTATGAATCTGATTAGATGCGGTGTCTGTCTCTTACCCAACAGGCTGCCCGGATCATCCAGCCACCTCGTCTTGTATAAATCCAATTTCATCATTCCAAGGATGTATGAGGCTCATCTTTATTGATAATCAACCCAAGGACCTCGTCTTGGTTCAGCGCGGCGTCCTGGGGAATTTCAGCGACTTGCAGATTGATATGTGTGGCATAAAAGACAGGTAATGTAATTGTTGCGTATGAAGTGAACATTATATAATCACTCCAGTGTGCTCAGGGTCTTCAACTGGACCTCCTCTCAGGCTGATTTGAGATAGAAGGTGAGAGAGGCTCTCAGGAAGGTCCAAAGATGTCAAAGCAGTGGCGTAACAATAGTCATAGCGGCCCATGCGGCTGCTATGGGACCTGGGGGTGGAAGGGGGCCTCAATAAGGATTGCAGGAGTTGCTGCTGACACTGACATTATTCATCATGAAGAACTGACATCAGATGTACAAGGGGGACTATGCAGGAAGTTCTCCTGCTATCTGACTTTAATACTATTAAAGTCAGGTAGCAGGAGAACTTCCTGCATAGTCCTCTCCGGCATAGAGAGGTGGCTGGGGGACCCCATCAAAATTTTGCTATGGGGCCCCATAATCTGTAGTTACGCCTCTGTGTCAAAGTCATCCCAAATGGCAAGTCTTCATTCCAAGGAGTAGCAGTTACACCAAAATTCCCCTGAATTGCCCTAAATCACTATTCAGCTTAGTTCTTAACAAAATGTAAGTATCAGGGATGTGCGGTCAGGGGAGGCAGAGCCTCAACTAGTATTACGGAGGAAAAAGCTGTCAGCTTCAAGTCTGAAGCTGACAGCTTTTTCTCCCTTCAGATCGGCTGGTTACAGGTTACACAGCAGGGAAAGCCTCCACGCTGTGTAACCTGTCATGGACGGAGCTGCCTGTTAGAGGGTGCTGCATCCTGCTTTTGACAGCCAAGTTAGGTTACACAGCAGCGGGCTTCCCCACTGCTTGTGTAACCTAACATAGTGAGGCAAGATCTGCAACAGCCTCTACTTTGTGTTAGAGACTTGACCTGTGTGGATGGTTTGGATCCAATGGCAAAGCGACATTGGTCCAAGCTGTCCAATCAAAAAAAGGAGAAAAAAACAAAACACTGAGGACATCGATCTAGATGCTTCACCAATGACAAGCAAGTGAGGGACTCCTCCCTTCTCCTTCCCTCCTCCACATATAGGTGACCGGGTTGGGGAGCCGCGCATGGCGGGCTTG